ACTGATCAGCGGCTGATTCCAGGAAGCCTGGGGCAGAGCAACTCTGCCTCGGGCTTCCTGTAGTCAGTGCTGGTCCGTTTCAGCAGCGGCTGACTTGGGGACACCTAGGGCAGAGCAGCTGGGGTGCTGCCCGGTTGGTCCCCGCAGCGCCACCCCTGCGGGGACCTACCCGGCAGCGTCCCAGCTGCTCTGTCCTAGGCGTCCAGATTCAGCTGCTGTTGAAACTGATCAGCGGCTGATTCCAGGCAGCCCAGGGCAGAGCAACTCTGCCTCAGGCTTCCTGTAGTCAGCCGCTGGTCAGTTTCAGCAGCGGCTGAATCTGGAAGCCAGTTCCGACTTACATACAAGTTCAATGTAAGAACAAACCTACAGTCCCTATCTTGTACGTAACCCGGGGACTGCCTGTATATACTAACCTACTGTAAAGCATCAGAAAACATCCTAGTTTCATATTGCTTTTCATCTACCATCACTTAAAAAGATTTCCAAAATGCTTCTAGAAGCCATGAGCTTCTTTTCATGAATAGTGTCATATATATGGATTAATAGAATCCACACACATGTTGTAACTGACAAATCTGTTGGCAAGGTTAACATGTAGCATCAATACATAGTGGTCAAAATAATTGCTCTCCCCTCCATCCTATGAGGAATATGAACCATGGTGTTGAAAAGTAAAAGGCTTTCTGAAAAAAATACGTCGCTTCTATTATAGAACTGACTTCAAAGTGCTCAAAAATGGAATTCAGACTAGTAAGTAAAACACTGTGAGGGAAGGGAAGGAGAATTTCATTCTACCCCACATACAACTTTTTGATCAAGACATAATAGAGATTGCTTCATGAATTTCTCTAGCAACATTCCAGATTCTACTGACCTTTTCCTTAATAAAGTGCCTGCTTGGAAAACCCACTATTCTATGTATCTAAATATTCTGAAAATAGCAATTTTTTAAGAAAAAAAGAAAAAGCAATTCAGTTCTTTGCTGTTATCACAACTTTCCCTTCTATTCATTCACAATCCAGTCATCTTGACATCACTGATTTACTTGCCCAATCTTTGACTTGAGTTAGCCCTAAAATATGCAAGGAGATCATTTTAAAAGGTTGCGAAATATTTGGAAACATTTCTTAAAGTGAGGATCACGTTGATCTATTAGCTCTCTTAATTCTAGAAGTTTCTTTTTATCATCATGATCCCTAAAAGCCAATTACTGTTTAAAAGGAGATGAAGACTGTACTAACACAGTGAGTAGGCAAACTTATTTTCTCCTCTGGATAGCCCAAGACATGGTTAAATCAAGATTATATTATGTATGTTAAAGCAAGTGTATTATGACTGCACTACATTGATACGAAACTATGATGAATCAGTAATCCAAGTCCAACTTTATTCCCTGTTGCAGGTTTCCAATCTTAAGCCGAATACTGGTATGCATCAATAAATGATTGTGGTCAAAGAACCCTACACAAAAAATACAGAAAAAATCCACACACCCCAATTTATAAAATGATGCCTCCTACATCCCTTGATTAATAACTCCATTACTGACTTCAGAAAAATGTTGCTGCAGTGAGTTCCCTGTGGGGAAGTTGAGTTGTTAGCACTTGTACACATATGACAACCACCACAGAACCACTAGAGCACAGCATATGCATGCTTCTTTGCAATACCCTCACAACCCGGACCAAAACAGAGTTCTTTGGACTACAGAATTATTCAAAATCCAGGCAATCCTTGATTTCTCTTCTGAAATTGGATGTTGAATGTGTCAGCACTGTAACTTTCCAACATAGACAGACACTCATCCAGTGGGAATGGTATTGAAGCTACCAACTCATTTAATAGAATACCTCACATAGTGACCATCAAAGACAAGTTGGTGTCCTAAAGGTGAGCCCCATTGTCAACTCCTTTAGCCATCCAATACTATATTAGTAAGGTTGTCCTTCTAATATTTAGTCTTTTGAATCTCTCATCTGAGCTGTGACCTGCTTATATTTTTTAATCAAAGAAGTGCATTAAAAACAAATGACTTTTGCTTATCCTATTGATCACTATATTGTTGTATTTCCTATCCAGTGAAAAATAGGGATGCTGCTACTCACTAACTGATTCTTATCTTCTTTAGGTTTCAATAATTAGATCACAGGTGACTGCCAAATATTCATCTCTTGCCTGCACTGGAAAGAAATACGACACAGAGGAGTTGAAATAGAAACACTTTCAGTCAGCAATGTAGAAAATCTGCACTGAACCCGGCCAAAGCAAATGACCAATGGAGTCAATTGTTTTTAAGAGGATGGTGCAGATAAACCAGTTTCCCTGTAATGAAAATATTGATGCTGCAAATGTCATCATCTGGATTTTTATTTAACTGGTAGATAAAAGTTTTCAGAATATTTTCATCATAACTAAGGAAAAATCATTGCTGCTGGGAAAGAGTTAAAAAAAAAAAATCTGTTCCTGAATTTTAAAATGCCACCAAAATGTTTTATATATTCTATACTGTTAATGTAGGAGAATGCATTTGAAAAGTAAAATCCTTGTTTTATTTAAAAAAAAAAAAAATGAAGTAGTTGTGGTAAAAGGTCAAATACGAGTAAACTTAACACCTCAGCCTTGTACACATCAGCGACACTTGGCTGAGAAAAAAGCCACAAGGGGAACAGAATACAGTACTGAAGAAAAAACACATCAGCAACACCTTTATGTGTGAAGTTGACCAGTATGAGACAGAAGCCAAAGCAGTAAATGGGTAGGTTGGAACTATAATACACTGGCTTATCAACTTCAATTGATGAGATTTTGATAAGATATGATAGCTAGCTTTTCTTTAAAATGGTATAGATTGGATCAGTGGTTTGTACTTATAAGGCTTATTCCTGCAAACACTAACTTGCCTTTTTTAGCTGCAGTTGGGTTGATTTTCAGTTTTCGTAGAACCTCAGCTTGCACTTCAGTCACCAGATGCAAGTTAGACATTTCTCTCTTCAGTTCCCAGTATGCTTGCTGCACATTTTCACTGAAAGACATTTAAAAAAAATTAATTTGTTGTCCTTGCGACTGGTCACCTTGACTCTTTTGCAGTTCTTGAGTTATACAGAAAACACTAACACTGTACAATGTCCCCCTCCCCCTTTTTTTTTGCACTTGAGTGTATTCTCTTTTCAGTTTTACTAAAGAATCATTTCAAATTGACATTATCAATGGACAGCATACCCACTAAGTCAAAGGCTATCAGATGGCTTTATTTGGCTCTTAAAGAAAGCTGTGTATACTAGTATATAAAGCACTGAACTAAAGCACTAATTTAAAACTCTGTAAATGGAAAATTAAGATTACGAATACTCTGGTAGTTTCACATACAAGATAAAGTGTTACTCCTGATGCAAAACCAATGCCCTCAAAAATATCCTCAGTACATATTTCAAATACAGGTAATGGATACTATGAAACAGATGTAGTTAAGAAATCAAATTTGAATTGCTTTGTTTGTGAACGTTGCTACATACACTACTAACATTTCAGATCATGTTAATGCATATACAGTACTAGTAAAAACTAAGTATCTGATATTTCAGTCTTCACACCAGTCAGTTTGCCACAGTGAATTCAGATTAATTAGGTACTTGATATCCAAACTGCTGAACACATGCCCAGGCCAAATTAAAATAATGCATTACATTGCTTTATGTCTGACAGGGCTGTCTAATGCTGTTGATTGTACATCAATGTGAGAAAACAGTGCAAGTTATCAAGAACCGGTGCTCATTTTTGTTGGTGGATGAAGAGGAGAAGAGATGGTGGGCAGAGGTAGAGCTGTTTTGTCCTATGAAGATTCTTGTTATTTAAGGCACTTTATTACCTGTTTAAATCACCATGGTTAAACAGCAAGGCAGATTTTGCCAAGAAAAGTTATGAAAGGGTCTAAGCAAAATATATCAGTTATGAAGAACTATTTAATAATCTAAACGATAAGCAGATAATTCAGCCTTCAGAGTATTTTTCCAGTACATAATAGATGCTTACGAAGGTACACATCACACACTGCAGAACTACATTATTTCAGAACATAAAATTCTATGAACCAGATTTCAAAAATGCTCAAAACCCCACAACCAGAGCCAGATTTTCAAGGGAATTCCTTTTCTGTTTATGCAGCACATAAAGTGATTATTTTCAAAGAGTGTTCAGTACCTTGCAGCTCCTACTGAGAACACAAGCAGCTGAGAACTAACCTGGTTTGAAAATCTGTCCCTGTGCTTTCAAATAGAATCATTGGATAGTAGCATTCATGCTTCTACAAGATTGAACAGCAGATAGATCAACTCCCACTTTGAAAGACCTATTGGAATATTTTAAAATACGCATTCACTGTTAGCCCAGTGCTTTACACCAAAGGTATTACAATTTTGTCAGTCAACTGCTGGAAGAAAATCCCCTCCCTCCCTTTTTTTTTTTTTTAAATTAAGAATTCTGTTCTCACAAAATCCTTGGATCACCACAAGTTGCTTAGAGTGGAAACTACATTAGGGATGCAATAGTGTAGTCGATTAACCCATAAGCAAATGCTTATCGGTTAATGCTATAGACTACATGAATTTCAAACCACCCCCCTTGCCAGTAAATTTTTTAACAGGCTAGCCAGAAGCCCAGCCCAGTCTTGGCTCGCACCAGGTCCGGAACCTACGCCTTCTGCAGTTGTGCATTTAAAGTATATTTAAGGAGCCAGGCAGGTAGGCAGCCAGTCTTAGTTCCAGCTCACACCGGGACCGGGAGCTCAGCCCCCCACTATCCCCTACAGGGGTTGCTGCCACCCCATGCTGCTGCCTCTAACAGGCAGCTGGTCCACAAGGGGAGCTGGTTTATAAATTGGCTTGCCTTAAACGGATACAGAGGCAACAGCGCAGGGTGGCATGGGGCTCCCCAGGAGTGGGGCCTGAGCGCACTGGCTGCTGGCCCCACCCCTGGATACTACAAAATAGTTAGGAACGACTAAGAATTCATGCGGTTACTTGACTATTCTATTACCTGGTATCGAACATCCCTACTTTGAATTGCCTATCACTTTTGATAATTTCACTTCATGTACAATTTTCCTCCAGATGAGAATGTACAACGTGGATAGAACCTTACATGTATTAACTCTTTAATTACTACAAACCTTTTTTCACAGTTAAATATTCTATATACGCAGATTGTAAACTGTAATTACTAAGCAACAGTGGCAACTCTACTCGTATACATAAACACACCTTTATTTTAATCTCAGATCTATTAATGTTTTTAATATAAAAAAATCTGATCCATTCACTACATACATCCCATTACTGCAATATTTTTAAAATGTATTAATTGCAAACGTCTGTGAAATACTACAACTTATTTTACTAAAACATTTCTCTCCTCAATAAAATTATCTACCGCTGTACAATCTTTTTAGAAATACTGCTTGGAAAACTCTTAGCTCAAACATAACTGTTTAAGTCTTCAGCAAACTGGCATTTCAAAACAGATATATTAAATCAGAGATTTTTCAAGCTGTTGACAAGCATGAAATGATTACGCCACAAAAAATTAGTTAACCACATCTGCCCTCCCTCAGTAAACAATAAAGTTGTTTGCTACAATAAATGTTTAACAGAGAAACCGGTCTCAGAATTTGACAAGAGCTCCTGACTGCTCTGTACGTTTCTGTACATTCAATGGTATTACGAATAGTTATTCACATTACAAAATCAAACCACACTATACATATGCTAATTCATGCACTGAGCTGCTATCTGAAAGCTGCTTTAAAAAAACAACTAAATTTACTCTTCTATACTGAAGGACAGATAACTACATTATCTTGAGATAACACTTCTGCTGTCAGACATGCAAGATTGACTGTCACGCTGCAACTTGAACCACAAGAAAAAACTGCTAGCGACAAGTTTAAGATGAAGAGTAAGTAGCAATAGTTCGGATACAACATGCCCTATGAAATAGTCATAAAAAAATACTGTAGAGTAAATGAAAGGAACACCAACAGTACTATTGATTCTTCCCCCTCTGATTTCCTTCCCCCTATGAACAGGCAAAGTAAGCTCAACATGCTATGACTAACAATTTCCTATTACTAAGTACTATTCCCCCCTCTTGTGGAAAACTACATAAGTACACAAAGTTGTTTCTGTCTGGATGTGAGAGACAAATAAACCAACACATTTATCAGTATAACCACTGTATTCCTTTAAACCCAAATCTTTTCCTTAAAAGGGCATTTTCCCAAGTACATTTGAACTCTTTGCCATTCTGCATTCCCTGTAGGCAAGCACGATAACAATGTATCATATTACAATACACACGATTATGGAGCACAGATCCATAATCAAGCAGTCATCGGATTTTATTTTTCAGTAGGAATACTATGTGTTTTTGTCAAGTGAAGAGAATTAATAATTTGTAACATCATCCTCACTTCCTAGTTCGTTCCAGGTTAGGCTAGGTCATTTGCATTCTCCACTTCTGCTGACATCTTAGAATATGTCAGCTTGAAGATATCTAAGTTTGATAACATTATTTGAGAAAAGGGTAAAATTCAACTGGGAACACATTCAACAGCTGTTTCTGTAGTTCAGACAAAGTCTTTGGGCCCCACATGAGCTCCAATTTTAGTAGCAGGACACAACTCCTTCCTATTAGCAGCTGCAAGTTCCTTTTACATGTCAAGCCTTTTCTAATGTCTGAATGTCTGGGAAATAGAAGAATAGATAAGAAAGCCAGGAACTCTTTTAGTTGATGTCTTATGCTCCTGTTATCTGTAGGTTGCATAAGGGGCAAGCCACAAAGGTCAGTTACGCTTTAGCCAATGCAAAACCTAGTGGGCCACATAACTTAAGTGGAACAGGTTACCATAACTATTACACACGTGATCCATGAATTTTTGCTAGCTTCCCTCTCTTTCCTGGAATGATGCAAGGTGTTCATCTTAAGCCCTATATTAGATTGCAGTCTAGCTACCCAAGAATCTTCTACCTGCTTCACTTGACTACTAATAAAAAGATGAGAAAACTTCCAGGTGTAAAACTCTGGCCTTAAAATTGCCATATGAGCTCAATTTTTCTTCGCAAAAGTTTGTTTTGCCTTCTGATAAAACTATGGATGTTAAGATTAAGTGGCATGCTATGGTCACTGATGGGAGGTAGCTATTGTTGCTCCACGATATGCTCAGTTCTGGCTCATGTGTTAGGGCTTGTCTAAATGCCACTATGCTGCACGGCAACTTTCTTGCTCAGACACGTGTGACAGCAAGTTATAGCACTATAAAGCGCAGCATGAACTGGCTCCCAGCACTGTAAGCTACATCCCTTGTGGAGGTGGTTTACCTACAGTGCTGGTACCCTGACCACACAACCATGCTAAAGCACTGTACACAAAGCCTCAAATTACATAATGTGCTCACACAGCAGAGTATTTTGCACATAATTGATACCACCATTCAAAGCACTTAGTTTACTCTTATCTCTGATCACAGATTCCTTTTCTCAACCTGTTATCAGTGTGGCTTTTCAGATGTTAGTCACTATCTTTTTCAACTACACTGATCAAGTAGCTAAGGTCTCATGCATGCTCATCTGCTGCCTTGAATGCCTATTTCCAACAAATTGTGCCAATTTTCTTCCACATATTGATCTGAGAAAGTGGATCTGGCCCACGAAAGCTCATCACCTAATAAACCATCTTGTTAGTCTTTAAAGTGCTGCATAGTCCTGTCTTTTGTTTGATCTTTTAGCTTCTAATGTCACCAGCACATTAAGTGGCTTCATGCTGTTATGTGATGACTCACATTCCAATGCCATCACACATCTGCTTGTTTTGAACATCTACCTACCTACAAATGAATATTTCATAACTGAAGTACACTTCGAGAGACCCTAATCTCATTCCGTGACTCCGCTATTGTTCCCCTTAATTAAAAAAAAGTAACATTGCTCCCAAGCCCAGGAATCTTGACATCATCCCTGACACAAGACCCTTTGTCGCCATCACTTTCTCCAGAATTAGTCTCTACCACCACTTTGCCTCTACTGAATACCTTTTTCTTGACTTGATCACATTTGTAACACTGGTGGCTCCCCTTTTCCTAGCATCTATATCTGCTCCTGGAGGAATTCTGAACCAATACATTAAAAATACTGTCTGCAAATTTTTTAAATTCTGCACATTTTGTTAGTAAGAGTAAAACAATATAATCACCAGTTTTAATTTACTGATAATTTATTTCAAAATACCTGCCTGTCAATGTCTGTAACAATACAGAGAACAAAAAAGATTCAGGAAATGTTTTTGACAAATAGATTCCTTACTAGGCGTATTAACACAGAACTCTATGTAATAATTCATTTAAACTGCAATTCAGAACAATATGTCCTGCACCCCTCAGAAGCAACATAAAGGGTAGGAGTAATGGAGAAGGAAGTAATTGCTGGGAAGGAGCCTGAGTGTGAACTTGGACAATTATTGGGTAGGTGGAAAAAGTTGGGAATGGGTTTTTTGGGGAGGTAAAGAAGGATTTTTAAGAAGCTTCTCCCCTGCAGACCCTGGGTGACTCCCAGCCTGTCCCATTCAATCAGACATTTGCCCCATCTTTCCCTGTACCTCAATATAACCTTGCACCCTCTGTCCACATGTGTGCCTCCCCCCCCCCCCCCCCCGCAGATATCCACTCCCCCATCTCTAGATGGCCCTGCACTCCTCCCATCCCCATGTGGTCTTGTACCTCAACTTTCATTCAGTCCCTGATCCAGTCCATCCTCCCCCACTAGTCCTTATGAACCCCATGTCTCCTGACCTGGGCCAACAGGCACTGTGAAGGCAAATCCTCCCTCTTCCCTAACTGGCTGGGACCTGCTGCTCTGTTCTACTGCCACAGCACTCTCTGGTGGGCAGAAGGCAGAGCTGCAGCAACTTTCCAGCACACGCTTTTTCTGCAGAAAAAAATTTAAAATGTTCATAGCTCATTAATTATGCATGCACACAGTGGCACAGAAGTCCTCCAGAAGTACTGTCTTATTGTTCCTGCTCTTCGCCCTTATTTCCATTCAGATTTACCATCTATTGGTTCAGTGGTTTGGTGCATTAAGGTGACTTGGCTCTCTAGCTCAATCAGAAGCCCTTCTTCCAGGGATAAACAAAAAAATCTCAACATAACACAAGTCTTGTCAGCCTCTATAATGAGCTTCTGAATTTCTTGATGTTCACTATTCTTTCCTTCAAGGTAGGGATTTAGTCCTGGGTCTTGCAATGCAGGGGCCTTCATCACAGGTGTTGGATCACAGTCCCGGTTTCAGAACTGAATAGTCCTCAGTCCTTCCTTGAACAGTCCAAGGTTCCAATGACATTCTCTCTCCCCTTCATGCAGAAGATCTTCATAGCACTCTCACAAAGAGCACAATCAATCCTTTACCATATGTCAGGATTACTCACTCAGAAGCAGAGGAAGATGAAGGGGAATCTAGTCCCAGTCTTCTGCTTCACAGATCCAAGTTGTGAAACAGTCACCTGCTCTAAGTGCACGTAGCGACATCGCTATTTCTTTGAGGTTATTTTCTGCACTACTATTAGATTTTTACTACCTCAAATCTGTCTCCTGCTTCTGCAGCCATCCCATGTTAGGCATTCCCAACTCCTCTTGTCCTTCACAAACCTTTTTCTGGTCATTGTGAAGGGCCTCACCCAGAACTTTTCCCAAATGCTGATGTGTCTGAGTCTAAGAACATCTTTTCTAGCAGGATCTTCTTCCAACCTAGACATCCAACCCTACTCACGAGACCCTTGATGGTTACATTTTCCCTCCATTCAGATGCTTCTCCCGAGGACACTCCAGTTCTAGGATTCAGAAGAAACCAGACAAAGGCAGAGCTGAGCCCACTGCATTTAAAGGACTAATTCACTCCATGACAGTGTTCCATAATGGCTACTTAACACTGTACAAAAAGAAGAACTCCTGGTGTCTAAACTTAAATGAATCCAGATATACCAGTAAGATGTAGAAAGCAGAATCATGGATCCATCCTCCATCACATTTAGCCTTGATACCGCTACCCAAAGCAAACTCAACACACAATGCAAGCTTGCAAAAAACTCCATACACTTGCTATACCATCCTTAAATCTAGTATTTAATGTATGTGATCTGGAAACAATCCAGAAGATTTAAAAATACAGTCTCTGACAGAGTTAACAGTAGATTTAACTTTTATCCTAATTTATCAACAAGAACAAAAATAATAAATTTTGTCAAACAGGAAGTGTAATTAAGTTTGTAACTGCTTATACAGCAAGCTACCTTGGATGAGTTAGCCTATTATTCAAATAAGTTCACTCACAGAATAATTTGCCACATCAGCTCAATGATAATTTCTAAATCAAATACCAACAAAAAAAGTGAAACATAGAAGAACCACAAATCTTCATACCTCTGAACGTTTTGTTTTTGGAGGAAATCTCCATTTGACAGATTTAATTCTTGACCCTGGTCCTGAAAGAAAAAAAACAAACAAACAGCCAGTCAACTCTATTTCATGTTCATGTTCAAAAGCTTTATAACAAAAGTAGTCAATTATGTGGTATCTGATCTTACAAGCAGGAGGGTCTTAACTTTCACTAGCTGATGAATATCAGGAAGGGAAGGAGATGTGTCATTTTACAATGAAAAGTTTGCAAAAAATACATGAATTTCCTACAAAAATTCTGCTTATTTGAATTACTGTTTAAACACCAAGATCAATTCTGTATTGAGAAAATGAGTAAAATAAAACAATACTATCCCCTCACTGTGAATGTTTCAGAAAGTTATGGGGCCTAAATATTTTCTACTAAGAAGTTTCACACAAAATGGCAAATCTCGAGCCCCATTAACATTATTCCTGAGAGAACAAATCAACCAAAAAATTGGTAACAAAATAGTCTGGCCTATACTTGCAGACACCACCTTTTGCTTTATCAAACTATCACAAAATAATTAATCTGAAGTGTTTCGACCACATTATACTGCATCACAGTTTGCAGATTGAAGTCAATGAGATTTGTACCCCCATGTCACCTACATGCTTTGGAAAAATCCCACCTTTAGCTTTCTATGTATCAATTAACTTTGGACATCTAGATTTGAAAATTCTACCTTCTGAATAAAAAGTTCACAATTAACTCACTGAAAGTCTAAGTAACTTTTCTATTAACTCTGAAGCGCTTATTTTCATGTGATTTTATCCTATAAAAGTTTTGTACAATTTAAGTAGGATACCCTACTCATAATGACATTAAAAACAGCATTTGTAATTTAGTTCATTATTAAATATAATCTAGTATTACAAGAGCAAAAAAAATTTCAATTCGATTCTCGTAAACATGCTATCAATTGTCATTGTGACTATAAAAGGATCCACTATTAGCAGCAAAGCTTTTAGTTGATGCAAAATGAGACTCCCATACGCCCACTATGCAAAACTGAAATAAGAAAATCTATAATACTAAAAATACAACCAGAATGTCCTGATAGCAGCCATTTCTCTTTAATTCTATGTTTTTAAACTGTTTCGTATTCATAATAGGGATGTAATAGTGTAAACGGTTAACTCACCAACATGACTCATTAGTTGCTCTTCAGTTATATGCCGTTCCCCCTCCAAGCTCCCTCCCCTCACTACTGCCTCTGTGTGTGAGGTAGCTCATGGGGAGCTGGGTTTTAAGCCAGCTCCCTGCACACACCAGCTCCCACCTGCCCCGCAGAGAGTGGGGAAAGTCAGGCAGCTTCCTCTCCGGTGAGTTTTCATGAAACCACTTACATTGTCAGTGGTTATGTGTTCGCCTGAACGCATGCATTTTAACATCCCTAATTCATAAATCCCAGAGCTCTCTCAAAGTTTCAACTGGCAATGTTACTTTCCTCTTTTACTGCTCACGTGCAAGACAGTCAGTCTCAGTGCTATAAACAAGCTAATATAAAACCTTGTTCCTTGATGTGTGTTAGTGGATTTGAGGGGAAGATGTATTTCTTCTTTAAGACAAGACAGTTACTGCAACAGTTATTAATTCAACAGAGTTCAGTGCACTATCAAAACAAAACTAGCCTCCTAATTCTGTGGAATCTCTCAGAATGTATCACACGATTAATAGACCGTCCCCAGTTATGTCTCCAAAATGTTTTGAAAAGACACCTACAATAACACTAGACATTTAAAAAAAAGCCACTTATTAAGGAGAGGAAAGTTAACAGTGAATGAATTCTCAATTCAAGATAATCAATTCCCTTTAGCACCATCTAGTGGACAAAATATAGATGAGCATATAGAGACGGAGAAAAAGTTTCAGTAAGAAGAGCTCAAACACTTAAAATTTTAAGCCTTGTTATGTTCTGTGCAAACATAACAAATGACAAGAATCAGTTGATCAGGCTGGCCAACAAAGCCTCCAAAGCCTGACAGCCAGTATTAACGATGTGTATCTTAACAAAAACTCAATGTATAATTTTCAGCAGCTAGGAGTAAACTAATAGCGTTAAAGGTCTCAGAGGGGTACCCATGTTAATCTGTAACTTTAAAAACCAATGAGTAGTCCTGTGGCACCTTAGAAACTATAAATAAATAAATAGTATCATGAGCTTTTGTGGGCAAAATCCGTTTATTCAAATGAGCTCATCTGAAGAAGTGGGTTTTGCCCACGAAAGCTCATGATAGCCTATATATTTTTGTTGGTCTCTAAGCATACCTCTACACAGCAACATTATTTTGTAATAACTAACATTATTCAAAAAAATGCAGTGCACATCTACACTGCAAGCCGTTATTTTGAAATAATGTCAAGCTGGAGGACGTCTTACTCTGACTCATGGTAACTCATTTCATAACGAATAAGGGAAGTCCAAGGAAGAGTGTTCTTCCTTCAACTTCCTCCTGTGCAGACAGCACCAAAAGCCAAGTTAAGTCATTTCACCTTCAGCTACACAATTGATGTAGCTGAAGCTGTGTAGTTTAACTGGACTTGAGTCCTGCTATGTAGACGTATCATAAGGTGCCACAGGACTATTCATTGTTGCTAATAAATACTAGAAAGAAAAAAAAAGAAAGGTAGCATAGCCTCTATTTGAAGGGAAAAAAGTAACAATTTCATCTGTTTTCCTCTGCAGTATATAGCTTAGGGATATAAAATTCCTTTTAGAAAGTTAACCAATTAAGTATTATGTTTAACCATTTAACCAAGATCCCACAGGCAGGATCCAGCCAGGTGGGGGAGCTGCTTGGCCAGGCTGGTCCTGTTGCATCGTGCCACAGGTGAGGGGCTGCTCCAACACACAAGAGCATCTCCCGCTTGCAGTACGGTGGAAATTGCAGGTAGGGGAACTGCTCCAGGCTGGGCAGGCTGCCACTTAACTGATTACCCAGTAAGGGCGATGCTTACTAGGTAATCGGTTAACCCTTTACATCTCTAATGTAGCTGCATTAAATCAGATCAGCAGCTTACATTTGAGAGCTCATGCATGACTGCAGCATAATTTAAATGTCTTTACAAACAATGTGCACAAACGACTACATTCCTTCCACATGAACTAAGTTTTAAAGACTAAGGCAAACAGTAGCTTAATACATTTACAGAAAATGTTAATTATAACAAATAATAGTAATTGTGCCCTCAACACACCAAAAGAAATCTGATTCTAGGTTTTGGCCTTAAACTTGAAAAACCACAAAGTGGTCTTTTAGCCCTGTAACGTGGTCCCCCGCCTTCTCATCAATATGCATGAGCAGTGACACTCAATATGTAATGACTGTCATGAATTTACATAGATGGTTCTAGTTTCTGCTGCACACGTCACCATGTGCTGCTGCACACAGTACACTCACCCCAGACAGTTAAGAGCTGTTTATTCAGGCACCCAATCAGAGACCCTTGTTTACCTAGACAAGGTCCAATGAGTTTAAAGCTACAGCTCAAATATTCATGGGGAGAGCCTACTTAAGTTCTGGTTAACCTTTCCTGCTTGTTCGTTGTTTGCTTCTCTCTGCCTTTTTGCGTCTGCAGCGTTCCACCCTATCCCCTGTCCATGTCTATAGGTAGCTAGGTTAGTTAGAGGTTCGTCATCAAGTCTGTCCGTTAGTATAGTGCGTCAGTTCTACGCTCAAGCGGCTGGGGTATTATATCGTGACGGGAGGCGTCGTGTTAGTTTAGTTAGGATTTTGTGTATCCAGTCTGGGTACAAGAGTGGCTCGTCTATCGCCGGTTCCAGCTGAAGAGCGGAATCAACCTGAAGGCCAGCGCCAGGCAAATTACCAGCAGTGAATCCTGCGTCCAGGAGCGGAAGGCCCCGGAGGAGGACTTCACTACCTGCCTGCATTCCACCCGTCCCCAGGGTCTATGAGGGACTGCCTCTCTGTTCCTCGCCAAGGGCTCGGAAGGAGCCTACGGCTTGAGGTCGAGAGCACCGCAGAGGGCATCGCTGCAAGGGATAAGGGCTCGGAAGGAGCCTAAGGCTTGAGGTCGAGAGCACCGCAGAGGGCATCGCTGCAAGGGATCGCCTCCTAGTCTCTCGCTAGAGGCTTTAATTAGCCAAAGGCTTGAGAGACAGGTGCATCACGTCCATTGTCGACAGCTGGATAGTGTAATTATTGTCTGTGTAATCCTTGTGTTTGTGGGGTACTTAATATCCCACAACCCAAGAAGAAATAGGAGGATAGTAAAGAGTGTTAACCTATTTCCTTGTTGTACCTTTTAAATTTTACAATATATGGTTTGGCCCCTTTAAATTGTGTAACATTTTTATTTCTCTGCGGCATGTTAATCAACAAACACCTATGATAGATGAGGTTTGGTGGTATCTGCAACTTCCACTGAGGTTTAATTAATTAATTAATAGTAATCAGATTGCAAATCTAGGCTTAAGCATCCTCAGTGTAACAGCCCTCCAAAGAGGAAGGTACTACGAATAAGAAAAATTACATGAAGTCTTCAATCCCTGGTCATCTCCTGATGAGATCAAAACTTTAGCAGACCTTGGCTGTTTCTAGATTGGCTGCATATAAAAACAAGATCTAAATATTACCATCAGTTCCACAAGCATTTCTAATACAGTCCTGGATAAAAAGATACTGGGGAAAAAAAATTCCCACATCAACTATGGATACAACCTCACTATACAGGGATGAGAAGATGGGTATACCGATCTTGTGGGAAAATAGGGTTTTGCACAAAAAGAAAATGTCCACACTACTTGTTTTTATGCAAAACACAGATCAACAGAAAATATGCAAATGAGATTGTGACTCATGCAAATGAGTCCCTTATTAGCATATTTTTTGCCAAGAAAACTCGTAGTGTAGACGTAGTCTAGATGTCTTGCAAATTCTGTGACGCAAAGGTCCTATAAACAAAGCTTCTTTTACCACACAGCTTTGATTCATCCATAGTACAAGTTGAGGCAAGTGTACTAGATGAGGTAGGGATCTTCTGGGAAAAACAGTAAGTTATCATGTGATTAAGGACTATTGAATTTCACACATAATAAGAGGCCAAATTCAGTTTGCACTGGCAACCCTAATTCTGGCATTTCCTAACTTTTGAGCACTTAACTTGGCAACCTTAATAACGTTCTTAAAATAGTTTGAGTTTGTCACTTAAGAAGTTAAAAAAGCAAATTACTTTTTTTAAAAAAGAGAAATTCTATTTCGTGGCATCATATTAATATCCACATGATTCATCAGCAAGGTTGGAACCTTTAGAATCTCCATTGAGCATCCTTTCCCCCTTGAATTAACATAGTAATGGTAGTACTAAGTCGACAACCTCTATGCACCAAAGCTAGATGGGGATGAAACACACATTTTTGCCAGTGGATTTCAGAGACATTTGCTGACAGCAGAGCATAGAAATAGTAAAAGTCCTGGAATTTTTTCCAGGATCTGGAAGGGAGCAGACTCTTGGGGAACTGGCAGAAGAGTTTGCCTACTAAACATAAAACATTCTGACACATCCACTTCCTTTCCCAGTCCTCTCTATTTCCCATTCCTGACTGTCTGTCCCAGTCCTATTCTCCTGGTCTATTTTGACTTAGTCTCCACTTTTCTAACTTCTGTTCTCAGTCTCCTTGCCCTGCCAATTCCAGTCTGCCCCTTGCCCCCTTTCCCCCAGTTCCTCATCTGCCTTCCCCTTCCCTCTAACAGCTCCCAGTCTCAGTCTCTCCCACCAGGGTTTTAATTCATTCTCAGTCTCTCCCGAACTGCCTTCCCATTTTCATGTTTTTGCCTCTCTTCTTACCTGATTCCTTGTCCCAGTTTCTTTGCCCAGGGAGTCCCAGTCTCCCCCCATTTAATTTCAGTATTCTTCCTCATACCAACTATATGCCACTTCTCATACTTCATTTCTCTGAGTAGCCTCCAGTGCCAATTCTACCAGACTCCTTGACCCAATTTACTCCCTCCTGATCCTTGGTCTTGTGTTTTCCCCACTGCATAGGAATCAGGTGATTTCCTACTTCAGACTACATATATGCCTAAAAAGAGGCAATTGAGAACACAGGAGAAACAGGATTCTGGTCTCAGAGTTCAAGTCCTGGACCCCTCACGCCCAGAGTATGTGGGAGTAGCCACTGCAGGGAGAGCTTAGCTTTACCCTTTTAGTACTGGATTGGAGCATGCTCAGTTGTTCTGAGTGAAATGGGGCATGTTATAGTTTGGTCAGCATTGGGAATGGTGAGAGACTCGGGCATGCTCATTGCAGTCTGAATCTTAGGGAATTTTGCTGCTCATAAATCTTAAGACGTGGCTATCAGCACTTCAAACTGCAGTATTTCAAAAGTCTTTGCAGCTTATTTGGGTGAATCTTCACAGGGTCAGCAGAATACGTATGCCCAATAAAAGGCCACTGCTCTGCCAAGTTTCAAGTCCTGACATTAACCATGTGATAACAGAGCTGTTCAAATGAAAGATCATCAAGCGTTTTTAGTTTTGTTTTAAAGATGGGCAAAACATCTTTTTCTTTAACTTTATTGTCTACAATAGTTGACTTGGCTAAAGTTACCCCCCACCCACTCCCACAAAAAACCCCCACAAACTGAGGCAAATATTGGGCATGGAAAATTTCAGCTCACAGGGTTGAAGTTCGGCAACATTTTAAGTAACTAAAACAGAGTCTTATAATCAGGTGATGGGCAACCTTTGCAAAAGGCAGTGCCATCAGCCCCACATATAAATACAGCATTATTTACAAGAGATTAATTTCCTGGGAAGATCATTGCAGTTTTACTACGAACGTTTTCATTTGTTTTATATGTATTTAGTTCTCTTTCATGTATATATTTCTCATGGGAACAAAAGTATTTGGAGTAAAGTTAAGGTTCAATATTATAAACTCATTTTAATTTTATAAGTCTATTCATGTTTCAGTTCTATAATTTAACAACAGTACCTTCTGCAGTTCTTTTCTGAGACTGTTGCATTCTTTCTTCAGCTTTTCTATTTCCTGTTCCAAACTGTGTACTTTCAAGTCACTATTCAGCTTCTCTATTTCCCAGCTAACTGGAGCAGAGTTCAGATTCCTCATCACTACAAAAAAGATAAGCAACAGACTGATTTGCACTCCCATTATAAGGTTTCAGAGTTAGACACCATGTCATGGCTCATGAGTATCTGCACCAGACAAAATAAAAAGGACTCAACAGATTTAAAGTTTACTTTTCATCAATAAAGGTAAACTCTTCAAAATATAATAGATTGTTTGTGTATTTGTTTGTGCAAAATAAAGTCATACTTTGCAATTACCTACAGATATCAAATTTTGCATACACAATCCTGCCATTTAAATTACCTGAATGCACTACTTTTTACACTGTAATATCCTAGATGAAAGGTTTAAATAATTATTTTGGGGTTTTGTTGGAAAAAAAAGTCATGGCTATTATGATAAGAGTTCATAAAAATATTTGCTAACAACACATCAAGTCACCTATTCAACTGTCATTTTAGTGCAAAGAAAATTTTTACTGTTACAAATCACAAAATCATTCAAATTAGTTACGGAAAGAGTAATAGAAGCTTTATGAGTTTCTGATTCAAATTTACTATGTATGGTAATTATTCAATAAAATTAATAACATTTGAAGTTTTTTGCAAGCATATAAATATAATTAAAAATAAATAGAATTTATTAAAATTTATTTAACTGTCCTGTAAGTGTAATCTATGGAAAGTGACTTTGCCTGGTCAACAACAGGCCTCACCTGCTAACCTAAAATATTTAGCAGTGTCTTGCTTTGTATAATACAGAGTTACTTGTCATCTGATATTTCATATCTACTTTCCTAAACAGGTTTTCTTGACTAGCCTTTCTTGTACAAAGATCATACTTTACACTACAGGAAGTGAAAGCATTACGTTTCCCAATGGATATTTATCAAGAAAGCAAATAGAAACTTTTTGACAAAGGAAAACTCAGAAAATAGATTAGAGGGACAAAGCATGTAGTTGTGTTTTTCTTTCTTTTATGTAACTTCTTCAAAGTAGGCTTTGCGAACAGGAGCAGCAGCCTTTGCGAATAGGAGCAGCAGCCTTTGCGAATAGGAGCAGCAAACAGGGAATTTTGAGAGGGCATTCTCCAGCAAAAAGGAGAAAATATGGGACCCTTGAGGTAAGTGGCTGTCTGTAGTGTGTGTTTAGGGGTTACTTGCTGTGTGCCTGAGCTTGTATTTGTCTCTTTGGTTGGTTTGTTTGCTTAAAGGAGCATGTGCTGTGGCCAGCAGTGGGAAACTGAGCTTCTAAAGGTTTGAAATCTAGAAGCCTCTGTTAATTGGCTGAGCCTTGGTCAGGGGGCGGGGCTATTAGGCAGGCCAGGGCTTATAAAGCAGTGAGTCAGAGACCTGGAGCAGCAAACGGAGTTTTGAAGAGGAGTGGGAAGGGGCCAGGGACACTTGCCATTCTTTATAGTTTAATTTAAAGGTTGTAATCAAAACTTCCTGATTTAACTAAAAAACCTTTCAATAACATAGGTAGCTGTAGGAGAGAATGCAGGCAGAAGCCCAGCAGCAGAGTGGGGGCTATTCTGTTTATAGCACCCAGTGTAGCATGTATAATTACCTGCCCTATGGGCGGGTGGCGTATATGTGCATTCAGTGCAAGGAGCGCCTGGCCCTCAAAGACTGCAACAGGCTTTGGAGGCCAGGGTGGCTGAACTGGAGGAGCTGAGGGAGGCAGAGAGGTATGTAGAGGAGGCGTTCCAGGACACTGTAGAATTGTCCCACCTCCAGTCAGGCAGCCCCTGCGCTGTTAAGGCTCAGGGAAGGAGAGCAGTCAATGGGAGCAGAAGGAAACCTTTCCATAGTTGGGACCCTCCTTCCAGATGTTAGGGTATCCTTTCGCACTGAGGTTACCTTTCTGGGGGAAGGAACTCCAGTCAGTAGGAAAACACAGTTGTTAGTAATGGGAAATTCGATCATTAGTAATGTAGATAGCTGGGTTTGCGAAGACCAGGAGAACCGTTTGGAGACTTGCCTGCCTGGTCCAAAGGTTGTGGATCTCTCGAGGTATCTAAATAGACTTATGTGTAGTGCTGGGGAGGAGCCAGTGGTCGTGGTATATGTAGTTACCAATGGCATAGGGAAGGGTAGCAGAGACGTTCTGGAAGCCAAATTTAGGCTGCTAGGAAAGAGACTGAAATCCAGGACCTCTATGGTGGCACTCTCATAAATGCTTCCAGTTCCACGTGCAGGGCCAGGTAGGCAGGCAGAGCTTCAGCGTCTCAATGCATGGATGAGACGATGGTGTAGGGAGGAGGGGTTTAGCTTTATAAGGAACTAGGAAAATGTTGGGGATAGGAAGAGCCTGTACAGGAAGGATGGGCTCCACCTAAACCATAGGGGATCCAGACTGCTGGCACTTAGTTTTAAAACTGCTCTGCGACCTTTTTAATGTTAAGAGATGGGGGAAAGCCGATTGGTGCGGAGGAGCATGTGGATTGGACAGAGACAGTTCTTAGAGGAGGGTCTATTGATAGATTCTCTAGGTTTTAGTCAGGAGGAGAGGATGGAAGAGGATCAAGTAGGGGCCAAATTAGATGAAAAACATTCACATAAAAAATAACCTGACATCAGAAAAGGGCAGACAAATAAACAGTGACAAGTTTTTAAAGTGCTTGTACACAAATGCTAGAAGTCTAAAAAATAAGATGGGTGAACTAGAGTGTCTCGTGTTAAAGGAGGATACTGATATAATAGGCATCACAGAAACCTGGCGGAGTGAGGACAATCAATGGGACACAATCATTCCGGGGTACAAAATATATCGGAAGGAAAGAACAGGTGGTGTGGGTGGGGGAGTGGCACTATATGTGAAAGAAAATTTAGAATCAAATGAAGTGAAAATCTTAAATGGATCAATTTGTTCTATAGAATCGCTATGGATAGTAATTCCCTGCTCTAATAAGAATATAACAGTAGGGATCTATTATCGACCACCTGACCAGGACAGTAATAGTGACTATGAAATGCTAAGGGAGATTAGAGAGGCTATCAAAACAAAGAACTCGATAATAGTGGGGGATTTCAACTATCCCCATATTGACTGGGTACATGTCACCTCAGGACAAGATGCACAGACAAAATTCCTTGATACTTTAAATGACTGCTTCTTGGAGCAGCAGATACAGGAACCCACAAGGGGACAGGCAATTCTCAATTTAGTCCTGAGTGGAACGCAGGATCTGGTCCAAGAAGTAACAATAACAGGACCGCTTGGAAATAGGGACCATAATATAATAACATTTAACATTCCTGCGGTGGGACACCTCTGCAACCCAACACTATGGCATTTAATTTCAAAAAGGGGAACTATGCAAAAATGAAGAGGTTAAACAGAAATTAAAAAGTACAGTGACTAAAGTAAAATCCCTGCAAGCTGCAAGGACACTTTTCAAAGACACCATAATAGAGGGCCAACTTAAATATATACCCCAAATTAAAAAACATAGTAGAAGAACTAAAAAAGAGCCATCGTGGCTTAACAACCATGTAAAAGAAGCAGTCAGAGATAAAAAGACATCTTTTAAAAAGTGGAAGTCCAATTCTAGGGAGGTAAATAGAAAGGAGCATAAACACCGCCAAATTAAGTGTAAAAATGTAATAAGAAAAGCCAAAAAGGAATTTGAAGAACAGCTAGCCAAAAACTCAAAACGTAATAACAAAATGTTTAAGTACATCAGAAGCAGGAAGCCTGCTAAACAACCAGTGGGGCCCCTGAACGATCGACATAAGAAAAGGAGCACTTAAAGACAATAAAGTCATTGCGGACAAACTACATGAATTTGTTGCTTCAGTCTTCATGGCTGACGATGTTAGGGAGATTCCAAAACCTGACCCGTCCTTTGTAGATGACAAATCTGAGGACTTGTCAAAGATTGAAATGTAATAAGAGGAGGTTTTGGAATTAATTGATAAACTTAACAGTAACAAGTCACCGGGACCAGATGGCATTCACCCAAAAGTTCTGAAAGAAATCAAGTGAAATTGCGGAACTATTAACTATGGTTTGTAACCGATCCTTTAAACCGACTTCTGTACCCAATGACTAGAAGATAGGTAATGTAACACCAATATTTAAAAAGGGCTCTAGAGGCGATCGCGGCAATTATAGACCGGTAAGTCTAACGTCAGTACTGGGCAAATTAGCTGAAACAATAGTAAAGAATAAAATTGTCAGACACATAGAAGAACATAATTTGTAGGGCAAAAGTCAACAGTTTCTTTAAAGGGAAATCATGTCTTACTAATCTATTAGAGTTCTTTGAAGGGGTCAACAAACGTGGGGGGTTCCAATAGATATAGTATACTTAGATTTCCAGAAAGCCTTTGACAATGTCCCTCACCAAAGGCTCTTACGTAAATTAAGTTGTCATGGGATAAGAGGGAAGATCCTTTCATGGACTGAGAACTGGTTAAAAGACAGGAAACAAAGGGTAGGAATAAATGGTAAATTTTCAGAA